CACACACACAATTATGGGCACACTAAGGTTTGTCACATGGAAAGTGCATGGAGCTGGCTCCAGAGAGAAGAGGTTAAAGATAAGACACTTAACCACCTTAAAAACACTACAGGCAGATGTTGTTTTATTATAAGAGACTGATAGACCTGCTGCAGCTACAGATGAACTTAAAACACCTGAGTTTCCTGATGCGTTCTCAGCCTGCTATAACTCTAGGCAAAGGGGAGTAGCAATTTTAATACATAAAAATGTTAATTTCACAGTACTCAACACAGTTATAAAGCCATTAAATTATCTATGCTTAACAAAAAGTTATGTATTGTAAGTATATATGGCCCAAGTGTTGATGACCCCTCATTCTTCCATGCTTTTTTCACTGCACTCTTTGAACACCTAGATTGCTCACTTGGTCTTGGGGGCGATCCCAACTTTGGACTAAAGGAAGAAATGAACAGGCTCAATAGAGCAGGAACTCCTACTCTATTGAGCCTCACTCCTGAAGCTGATTTGCTCTTCACAGTCCACCAGCTGTGGGACAGATGTGGTTGGGTATCTGTGAGCTAGCCTTTGTTCTTTTCAAAAGAAACAAGGGCACCAATGGTGCTGTGGAAGTGACCTCACCCCTTACGTCTTAGATGTAGTGGTAGTAGGGCTTCCCATTATGAGACTCCTCACTTTGTATTCAGAGAACCAGGGTTACCCTGGTAACCAAACTTTGAGTAAATTAAATAAGTGTTATTTTTAAAAAAGCAGTAAGATTTAATGCACATTCATTCAAGAGTGCTGCAGCCTCTTTGTTCTGCTTCTTGTGGCCTTGTGAGCTGTTCCTGTCAAAGTCTTTATGAAAAATGTTTCAAAAACCTGTTTAACTCGATAAAAAAGCCCAGTGTATATGCATAGTGACCTCCGACAGAAGACCAAATTTGAACACAACAGAAGAGACTAGTTATCTTCTTAAGAATGACTTGTTAAGTGAGAGAAGAGTTGTCAGGATTTTCAGGGATATCAGACAAGGTGGCCAAAATTTTATTGTCCTATTGCTTCAGTATGTGATCATGTTGGTGAGCAGCTGCAAAACCGCTTTAAAAACAAAATACATAAACCTAGTTCTGCACAGCATAAGATGAACCTTAGAACAGCATTAAAACCTGACAAGAACCTAAGTACAGACAGAAACTCACACACTTCACATTTTTTATTATAAACTTCATTTATTCTGATAAATACCCTTGATACTGGATAGAATATATAATCGATGCAGAATAGAATAGAACACATTATCCATTATTGAGAAAAGTCTGCATTTTTCATTTTAGCATTATAAATGATATTTTCATTGTTGGCGACAGACAGGTTACCTTCAGTTTGCTTTTTGCTTAAATACCAACAGAATTTTTTAAGTTTAAACTAGTTTTTGACAGATTACTAAAACGTTGGTGTTTTCTTGTTTTTATGACAGGTGGTCTAACACATTTGTTAATCCCTGTCTGTGGTGAAGTACAGCAGACAGAAGAAGACCTTTTTAAACATTATTTTGGGACACAGCTGTTTACTAGATTTGACTGGTGAGTCTATAAACGAAATACACAATTTATGCAGTAAATTTTCACTATCGTTTTGTTTTTCTCTGCACTTTCACAGATGAAGATGACAACAAACAACACAATGTTAACACTGTACCGTATACATGCAGCTCTCCACTATAGCAGGTTCAGGGATGAGGCCAGGAAAGCAGCGGGTGATGTAATGCTGAAGAATCTCAATATCAGACCGGTCTTTCTGCAAATCTCTCTGGTCTGGGTCTGTCTTGCTGCCCATATGGTAGCACACCTGTAATGACATCACTGGTATTAGTTCTATATGAAAGTACCAAAAACTCAGCATATTTTCAGTGATATGAGGAGCAGAAGGACAGCTGCAGTATTGTGAATAGAATAGCTTTGCATTCTGTTATTATGTCATAGTAACAATTTTGCATCTGAGCATTTTGTGTTATGTGACCGTGGGACTAATTGTGGCTTTGGTGTTTATATCAATTGAATGACAACAGAAACACAGCTTGAATGGCACTATGCACAAGTTCACTGCAAACCTGGTGCTTTTTAAAGGTACAGGTGCACACAAGAAGCTCTTTGTTCACCATTTTGCAGTTTAGCAGGCTGTCTCAGATTGTTTTTGCAGCACCGATTGGGGTTATTCAGAACTCAATAAAATGCTTTATATTAAATGTAATAAGGCACGAGCATGTTCCACTCATTTCAGCAGCTACTGTCGGTTAGGATGACTCTACAAAAACTTCCAAAGCATCTTTTTTTTTGTGCTGTTTTTATGAGCCAGGTTTGACACATACAGTCTTGCTCGGAGACTAAAGGCAAAGCGAGAACCGTGAGAGATTAAAAGAACTGCTGCTTTGACTTTTTTCTTTAGGTTTTCTGCTTGGCAGGTCCCTGCTTTAAAAACAAACAAACTACAGATGAGAAAATGCCACCGTCTTCTGCTTCATTTTGGCATTCTTTCAAACTGTTAAATGGCCCAAGCATTGCTAGCTCTGGTGACTGTGTCTTCGAGTGAATAATGCAACGTGGCATCACCATCTGTCTTCCCGTTCTCTTCTGTGCATGTGGTCTGCTATTAGACTGTGAGCTCCTGCTGGCTTGCCATAATGCCCAAAATAGAGATGTGTCATCGGATGACATCAACTCCAGCACAAACCTTACAACTAATATGATGCCGAGGGAGAACAAATCACATTTTAAAGTCCACTTTGCAACAGCATTTCTGTTTTTAAAGAAAAGCATTAACAGTTGTGTATAACAAAACATAAAAATCTATTAATTGCCTTAATTAAGTTCTTAAAAACTTAAATTTTTAAAACTTTAAAATAAAATCTAAAACCTTTTTTCCAGCTTTGATAAATAATGGTCAAATGTTAGCAAGACTTGCTTGTGAATTTGGATATGCCCTCCAAACATGCAGGGATTCATAAACTTTTAAAGGAAAACAAAAAACGTCTGAACAACAGATAAAATGTGGGAAAAAGAAGTGAACAGTGTTCCGCAACAATGTTGAAGAATGACCCATCTCCTAGAAATGTACACTTGTAACATTAATTACAGTACCAATTAATTTTGTCAGAAGGACAATTATATTATTATATGCAGTTCATATGTATTTGTTTTTCCAAAAGTCATAACCCTACAAATACAGAGTATTAGGGCCACAATACTGATCACCTGAGGCGGGTGGTGGCACAAAAACCGCATCTGGTCAGAAGGAAAAACAACACAAACTTGGAAGAGTTGGCCTGATTTGTACAAGATGAAACGGCAGTGTGGGATTATAATATTATTTTATGCCATGTTAGACCCCTAATTAAAGATTGTGAATTATTATGTAGTGTTCGTTTGCATTATTCTCTGAATTAGAAGAAGGTGATAACTATTACATTTGTTAAACTGATTTGCATTACATTAGACTGCTGATTTATTGTGAATGAATGATATTGTTTTATGATGCATTATACTGCTGAGTTATAAGAAATACTGTTCGCAGAAAGTCATCGCCTTATTTGTCTGGTTAGAAGAGAACAGAGCATACTGCCCCATTTCATCAGGAGCAGATAAACAGGGAGACAAGGTCGTAGCTTAGGCGCTGTGAGAGAAAGAATGTGAATGTTTAGGCTTTTATGATTAGGTGGGGGCCACTAGAGGCTATAAGAGTTTGATCAAGGCTCCACCATTTTGAGATCGGATGCTGTCTGCGCACAGTGTCCATCTCCCACGCGTGTGTTCATTAAATCATCATTTGACTCAACCCGGCCAGACCAGTGTGGTTATTTTGGTTTTCCTCGTGTATCCATCCCCAATATTTGAATCCGTGACAGCTGGCAATGGATAGATGCAAGGCTGGTTACAGCTTTGTGCAGTAAATGCTGGATCACAAGACATGATAAGACAGTTGATCAGTTTCTTTCACTAAGATACCACACCCCTGTGGGTCCTGTGTTTCATTTGGAGCACTCCCTAATTATGTTGCTTCATCAGAGTCTTATTGCCAAAGGGCAACAAGACCAAAGGACAATAAGCACAGATACTCTATTCCATAAAGGTAGTGACCCTTGTAACTTAAATAATCACTGCCCCATCTCAAAGTTATCTTGCCTAGCAAATCTTAGAGTCTCTCTTAGTGTCAGTTTCACACGTATAGTTCATTTACTCCGGTCTAAATCAGTTGATGATTTTGCTGCTTTTCCCTGTGATTTGACTTATTTTCACACAGAGTTATAACCTAAGTGAACTCCAAGCACACCATAATGTCTCACCACAAACCACGTGACAATGTTCAGTTCAATCATTAGCAAGATGTGTCTGGGTGGCAGCAATAAAACTAAATACAGCAAAAAAGTGCTGTGTTCTGAACTACTGGAGAACATGGTGTTCTCTGGAGAACATGGTGTTCTCTGGAGAACATGGTGTTCTCTGGAGAACATGGTGTTCTCTGGAGAACATGGTGTTCTCCAGTAGTGTTTGCCCTCTTACTGATTTACTGTTGGATCCTTGTTTACAATTAAATCAAAGTTCATATCAACAAGATATTAGATATTAGACAAAGCTAACAGGTAAACACAAAACACAGCTTCTAAACCGACATAGCCCTGTGTTAACAGCAACAACTGCTACTTTTGATACATTTTAGAACTCTCTTATCACACAAACTTTTAAACTTTGTTAAAACTAAGTACACGATACTTACAAGGTCACCTAAAAATATCCAGCCAACAGTTCATATTCAAACATTCATAGTCATGAAATTTACCATGCGGACCACCTCTCAAGAAAAGGCTTAAAGGCTGCATATGTCAGCAGGTATGCCACACTCACCCATTCACACAAGCACTGTTTTTATGCTTTGAAGTGCTTTCTAACTACCATTCACACACATTCATACTCTGATGGATGAATCGGAGAGCAACTTGGGGATATTTGGCATGCAGACCTCCTGAGCTACAGCCACCCAAGTATGTGTTTCTTATCACAAAACATTTTTTGCACTTTTTTTGGACAAATAGATCTTGATCTCAATGAGACTATTTAAAGGATGCTAAAAACAATAATGATGACCCTAAATTAACTGTTTATAGCAGTTATGTTTATTATTATTTAATTAAAAAGTTATATAAAGTCCTTTCAAATAAAGGGTAACCAGTTATCCAACATGATTTCTACAATATAAAAGGATAAATCATCTGACAGAACTGAATATAATTTCAGTAATATGCCGTTTGGCATTGTTGTTCACTAGTTAGTGCAGTCATCTCACAGCAGGGTGGTTTTGAGTGCACTGAGATTCAAAGCACAGGGAACACTAGGCTGAGTGGCCCGCGAGAAAATTAATAACATGGAGATAAGGAAGTGAAAAAAGAGAATGTAGGCATATGAGTGAATAAAGAGCTCAATGAACTTACAAAGAAGATTAAATAACTGTTTGTTGGTAATTTTATTACTCATATTCTTTTTAAAATATTAGTTATTTTTACTTTATGATATATTCAATAAAAAGCAGAGAGGACACCAGTGAAGACGTGCAAGTAAAAGGTCAGATTTGAACTGGACCGCTGCATTTGGCCCTGTTTTTGCCCACATGTGACCCAGCATTTTGAGTTCATTTTTGTGATTTCTTATATTATATTGAAAGGATATCAAGTTCCAGTATTATTATTAGTTAGCCTTGAGTTTTAGGTCTAGTTCAGGTTCTTCTATGTCTCTTTAGTTATGAGTCTTTTCCGGTCCTCTGTGTGGTCTGTCTTGTCCTCAGTGATTTACTTTCAGTCATGCCTGTGTGCTTGTCTACCCGTGTTCTATGTTCTTATTGTCTAGCTGGTGTTGTCATGTCTACGTCTCTCTATGTTTTCTGTTTTATTTTGAAAAGCCTGGTGTTTCCATGTTTAATGTGTTTAGTTTTACTTCCCCTGTGGCATCATTATGTTTATTCTAGTCAGCTGTTTCCCCATATGTCCCTACTTCCCCTACACACAAACACTGTTTTCCTTCAGTCTTTGTCAGGTCGTCTGTGTTTCCTCCCACCACGTCACGTCAAGTTCCATGTACCTCATGTTTCATGTTCTTGTTCATCATTGGGTGGCTGTAGCTCAGGTGGTAGAGCAGGTCATCTACTGATCGGAAGGTTGGTGGTTCGATCCCTGGCTTCCCCAGTCTGCATGCCAAATATCCTTGGGCAAGATACTAACCCCAAATTGCTCTCCGATGCATCCATCGGAGTATGAATGTGTGTGTGAATGTTACCTTAGAAAGCACTTAGAAAAATGTGCTGGTGTGAATGGGTGAATGTAAAAGTTGTGTACAGCGCTTTGAGTGCTCAGAAAGAGTAGAAAAGCGCTATATAAGAACCAGTCCATTTACCATTTACCATAGTTTCTCGCACGTTCCTGGTCAGAATAATGTTGATAATGTTTGTTATCACAGTTACCACAGTTCAGTCATAGTAATCATAGTTAAATTTTTCCCAGTTTAGATTTTAGTTTCGTTTTCGCCCTGCTCGCCTTTTCTTGTTTTCCAGCAATAATAAGTGGCTCGCTTTTTGTTTAAATCCAGTGTTTAAACTCGTGTCCGCTCTTGGGTCCTCCTTTCCACTCCCACAGTTCAGCCACTGAACTTAAATAACATCCCTGTTATTCATATCCATAAGCTATACTCTGGTGTCGTTGCCTTCATTTGATTAAAAAAATGTATCTGGTTGAGTACACAGCACAGATTTATATACCAATATTGAAGTGCTAGAAGCATTTACTGAGACAACAAAACCAAACGAGGAACAACAAAATCACATGTTGAAATAAAATTTTGAATTGATCTTTTATAAAGTCTACTTCCTGATCACAGTTTGTATGTTAGAGGCAGGTATGCAGTAGTTTCTGTGTAAAACTTCACTTAAAGGCCCAGTTACGTGACGTACCTTCATCAGCCCTGGGTACTCATTGGACGGAAGTCCGTAGATATCCACTTTGGACTCCAAGCATTCAGTTTGTATGAAGCAGGGAAAGCGCTGCTCCATGCTATAGGACCCAGGAACCTTCTCCTTCCAGTAGCACACGTTGATCTTTACTACCTGCAGTAACATAAAGTCATTAGCAACACAGTCAAGGACCTCAAGACTGACTGTGTATTTATACAGCATTGACCAGCTTGACCAAAAAAAAAAAAAAAATTAATGCAAAATGCCATGCCAGTCTTGGTACTTGTTGAATGCAGGGTTTCCCCACATATGACTGAATTGAATTGATTATAGTTTAAACATATTGTATAATGTATAGTCTAAATTTTAAATCTGAATATGACACATTTGAAACAAAATCAGCACGTTGATATCAGCTTCCAAACACCATAGTAGCTAAAACTTAAAATATACTCATGCATAACACCTCCTACTGCAACCTACTCAGATTTATTTCCTCTGAAACAAAAGTGCTATTACAGAAGTAGCTCTGCAGTGGCGAGGCGAGAATTAGGATTTAATGAAACGTACACATGCTGTGTGTAGCAATAATGGGTAGCAATAATAAGGACACATTTTTCAGGAGCTTTTAGCGTAATGAACTAATAGGCCGTACACTCATTCCCCGGGACAATAAAAATTCTGACAGAAGTGCTCTGGTGAGCCAATGTGCTCAGAGCTTTTCCGCCAGTTCACTCAAGCATGGCATTCAACACCTTCAACACCTTTCACCCCACCACCACCCCGCCTGAATAATGCAATTCCAATATCACCTCCACTTCTCCACTCTAACAGCTGTCTGCTTGTTTTCTCATCACCTTCTCTTTTCAGGCTGTGTGGCATATTGCAAAATGGAAAAGACTGACTTGCTGAATCAGGTCTCTTGAGCTGTTTAAATGTGGAAGAGAAATGATTTTGTTTCTGTGGCATCTTCAGATGAATATAAAAGGGTAGGAAGGACAGCATCCCCGTGATAAAAGGGGTGGGGGAGCTGAACTGGATTGGATCTCATGCACTGCATGAAAAACGTCATAAGTTAATATTCTAAATTAATAGTATATAATATTAGTCATAAGGTAATACATATGGTGTGTTTGTCACAGGCATCACTAATTACATGCATCTACAGTCAAGAAATAATTTTTCCTCCCAGCCTTATAATCTTCTAGCATCTTTCATTTTGGAGAACAAACCTCTCAGTCCATCAGAGCTACAGGAGCTATGGTGCTTTCTTCTCTAGAGGATGCACTTGTGGTTTAGTTCACATCATCTGTGATATGCCCACCAAGGAATTTATCCGAGTCCACAGATTTGCTGTTTATGCAAAAGGTTGCTCATGTAAAAAATATTATTTGCAAAATTTAATTACAATCTTTTTTGTTTTGCCCACAATAGAATTATTTCTAATAAACCTGGCCACAGCTCATCAACTGAACCACCACTGCTGCTGGTGACTGATGCCCTTATTTACATTTGGATTTAGCAGGTTTTGCAGTTCATTGCAAAACTGACTCAACCAAGCTAAAAACGAGCACACAGTTAAAATGATTTGGCAAAAAACACAGAGCCTATAAAGCACCACTGAACCAAGGACACACTGAATTTTGTTAAATAATTTTACGTTTCTGAACATCATTTTACAGCTGACATTAAATGACACGTGAACGGTTATGACTCCATCACACTAGAGTAAAAATAGAATGGCAAGCACCTAAAGGAAGTTACCTGGTGGTTGTATTGAATTTTGTCACTTTCAATAGCCCATTGCAAATAGCTGTTGCAACCAAATGTTCATTTAGAGATTGTGAGTGAAACACCCTCAGCCTCTGGCTGACCAGAGGTCGCAAAGCAATTACACATGTCACCTGGTGGGAGGCAATTTCTTTCTAAATAACTGCAGTCCGACTTGGACTGATTGCAACCACTGACAAATTGACAAATGTCTGCAAATAATTGCTGTCTAATTTGAAAAGCCAGACAAATTCTGCAACAGGGAAAATAAATCCATCCATCCATCGGTCTGTCGATAGAGCCTAATCAGAGACACCCACACTGCCCGCTTAAGCTTTTCCAGCCTAATACAGAAACCTGGTTACAGCAGGATGATTATGTTAGGGGTATTTACTCATATTTAAACTGAGTCATATGAACTGTCAGAGTCCTCGAAGCACAGGCTGAGGAGTGGCACCAAACTCCAGCTTATTAATCAACCAAAGGCCTTGTCCACCCTAACTGGAAAATTTTATTTGTTGTCATTGATCATCCACCCGGCCCTCACTCAGAATTTCTGATTTGTTTGACTTTTTATCTGATTTACTGCTCAACTCAGATAAAATAATTATTGTGGGTAATTTTAACATCCATGTAGATACCAAAACCCCTGTCTGATTATTTCTAATAACATTTAAATTAACAGTAATGAATTTCACAGTAGTGGGCAATACATTTCATCACAGTAGACGTCTTCCTGAAAGTGCTGTAACTAAGTTTAACCTCCTCAGACCCGAACTCTTCCACGGCATGCATTTTCAGTTTCTCTTTCATATTTGGGCATATTGGGACCCAATGAATGCACAAACAAAAAAAACAAGTCAAAACCAAAAAAAAATAAATTTAAAAAAAAAAAAAATCACAAGATTTTTTTTTCAGTTATTTAGAAAGAAATTGCCTCCCACCAGGTGACATGTGTAATTGACCTCTGGTCAGCCAGAGGCTGAGGGTGTTTCACTCACAAAAAAAAAAAAAAAAGCACAAGATTTTTTTTTTACCCGATTTCTGTTTCTAAGAAAAATGAGAGGCACATATGTGGCTATTCGTTTTAAATTTTCATAAAACAAAGGCAGTATAATGTCCTCATGAGTGGATATCAGGCCCTTGTAGAGCAAAATTTAGTATTTTGATCTAGACAAACCAAAATGTGATGTCCACATATGTGGACGCCAGGTCCTAGGAGGTTAAGAATATAATTCTGCCACTTATCTTCTTCAGTGCCATGTGCTAACACATGAATAGAGCAGACAGAGCAGCTGTCAGAACTCTACTCCAACAGAGGTCGATTAGCTTGGTAACAGTATTACATCTTCACTGCGTACAGCTCTGAACACTGTGACTTCTCTGAAAATGAAAGCTTCAAATCAGAAGTACTTGATTCCCCTGGTATAACTCAAATGTATACCAACGCACATCACTGATTGAAGAAAATAAGAACAACGCCAGGTTTCTCTTCAGCACTGTAGCCAGGCTGACAAAAAGTCGAGCTCTGTTGAGCCAACCATTCCCTTCACTAGAGAAGACTTCATCAGTTACTTCACAAATAAAACTGTAACCAAAAGAGAAAAACTTACTCATAACCATCTCACAAATGTAATATTACGTAGAGCTACTTTCAATACCATTTATATTTATATAGACTTTTTTTTTATAGACTCTTTGCTTGTCCTGTACATCTTAGTGCAGGGTTTGATACCATATTTTATTAAAGCAATTAGAGAATGCTGTGGTATTGTGCTGCGGTGGTGTGAATCATATTTCTCTAATAGACTCCATTCATTCATGGCAGCACAGTGGTTAGCACTGTTGCCGCACAGCAAGAAGGTCCTGAGTTCAATTCCAACATCAGGCCGGGGTCTTTCTGTGTGGAGTTTGCATGTTCTCCCCGTGTTTGCGTGGGTTCCCTCTGGGTACTCCGGCTTCCTCCCACCGTCCAAAGACATGCAGCTTGTGGGGATAGGTTAATTGGATAATCCAAATTGTCACTAGGTGTGAATGTGCGAATGAATGTGAGTGCGAATGGTTGTCTGTCCCTTTGTGTTAGCCCTGCGACAGACTGGCGACCTGTCCAGGGTGTACCCTGCCTCTCGCCCTATGACAGCTGGGATAGGCTCCACCCGCGACCCTGAAAAGGAGAAGCGAATGGATGGATGGATGGAGACTCCATTCATGTAAATGGAGAGTCCTCTTTACACACTAAGGTTAATTATGGAGTTCCATATTCTGTTTATATTATAGATGCTTCCCCAAGACAATATCATTAGAAGGCATGGCATACATTTTCATTTTTAATGGAGATCACACCCATCTTCATGTGTGTCATCTGCAGTCCAACGACATAACTCCTGGTTTCACTGGGACCACAAACCCCTCCTCCACAGTAAAGAGGTGAGTCACAGAAGGGATCTGGTTGTATTCTGATTATAGTCCAATAGAAAATCAAGGGTGCCAATGTCTATATTGCAGTTAAATTGCTATCCCATAGCAACTACATTATTTCTAAAAGATTTATGAATTTCTGTTTCAAGTCTGTAACATGAAACAGAAATCTATGTCATAGAATTTCTATTTACATTAAGAGTCCAAAATTTCTATTTATTGTGACTTAAATTAATTAAAAATCACAGTTAATTTCCATTTAATGGGGTCAAGTTGTCAAAATTCCATCTTATTGCTTTTTGATGCACCAAAGACAGCAGCTCACTTGGCCCCATTCTTTGAAATAACAGTTTCAAAAGCAACAAGGACACTAATAACTTTCTTATATTCACCCTGAAAATACTGCAACGCATGTACAGCCATATAAACATTGCACATTGTATACTGAACATTTTAATACCTCTAGTGGCAACTGTAAACCAGTGTTGGCCAGCAGTTTATTAGCCCAGGGTCCAGCGGTGATCACCAAACTCTTAGCATGATAAACACCCACAGAGGTTGACACTCTTACAACAGGGCCGGGCTTGATGTCCGTTACCTTCTCGTTGTCTCTTATAACTCCACCTAATTTCTGAAATTGCCCCTGTAAAAGAAGAGAGCAGCAAAACATTTGAAATTCCTGTTATAGCTGTTAAATGGTACAGTAAGAGCTACTGCAACGAATGCAAGAAATGTATATGGAACTTTGTAAAGTGGATGATGATTAATGGACAATAGGTTCAAGTACGTTTAATTTATTATGAAAAGACAAAACCAAAACAGATTCCTCATACTGACTGTCGTTGAGCATGCAGTTAAACCACATTTAAAGTCCTAAAAATATTTTTGGAATGCCTGGACTTGTTTTTAGTAACGATGATATCATTTTTACTTTTTTATTTAAAATATTTCATTTGTTAAACTGGAATTTTTAGACTTGATTCTGTCAAATTTCAGAACAAACCAAAACATCTGCATTCACACGCTCAACACACGGCACAAGTCCGTATCATGTTATCAGTGGTGTACCTGTACGGCTTTGAGTGTGCGGTCAGCAAATAGAACTCCAGCAGTTGTATCCACCAGTGCTCCGTCTCCCTTAGCCAAGTTGACATTGGGAATGTGCTGACTAAAGATGTCATGGGTCAGGACGAGCATGGGAATCTTGTTTGTTTGAAGGGTGTCCTTAATATTTTGGTGATTTTCACTCTTCTCTGGCCCCATAAACAGGAGCCCCGTTTGTCTGAAAGTGGAAATTAGGGGAAATTTAAGGCGGCATCTTGAAAAGAAATCTTCAAAAAAAGAAATTAATAAACTGGTAAGTGACTTTAATAGAGTGCAATGTTAACTTTGGCATTAAAAAAAAAGAAAGAAAAGAAAGTATCATAAAGACCTTTGTTTAACAAACTGCACTGCTCAAAAAAACAATAAAAAAACCCACTTTAAGTATAGCATCAAGTCAATTAAACTTCTGGGATATTGATCTGGTCAGTTAAATAACAGACAGGATTGTTAATCAGTTTCAGCTGCTTTGGCACACTAGACGAGTTTTGGAGGTGGACAACTGACATTTTTTCCTTCCTCATCTTTTCTGACCTTTTTTTTTTCACTATTTTTGAATTTGGCTAGGATCAGTGTCGTAACTGGCAACATAAAGTAAAACCTGGACCCGGCATGTAGTTAGTGAAGGATATCTTGACTAGGCCCTAGAAGGTGCTTCACCCATCAGTAGGTCTGGTGTCTGCTCCTTTATGCAAGGAGGAATGGGATGAGCGATGGCGGAGCCCAACAAAACGACCTTCAACAAACCAGTAATGTGAATATTCTGAGGGTTATGAGAGCTCTACGTCCTTGAATGGGCCCTGTGTTCACTGCCTGCCACTGTGGAGCTCAATTGGCATTTTCCATAAATTAAAAAACCCAAGTACTCATATTCCACCCTTCATACAGCTCTAGGTTACTTGCCAAGTGGTGAGGACCCTTTACGGTCACACAGTGACTTTGAAGTGGTGGGGGTCAGACACAGGTGGAGCCACACAGGTATATCACCTTCCTAAAAGCATAGAGAGAGGCTGAAACCACATTTCTAGTTAAGGAAAAAATTCAACCATCCCCACCTCCCTCAATTATGATAACTATCTCACAATAGAGAGCAGATATTGCTGCATTGCAACAGCGCTGAGGTGTTCTCTCCCCTGCTCGTTCACACCACTTTCATAGAGATACATTTTGAAACGTCCCTAGTTGTGACAGTGCATTCTAGGGGTGGGGGAAAAAATTGATACTGTGTAGTATGGTGATATTTTGTTTGCTAATAATGTATGGATACAGGGACAGCAGAAATCGATATTTTGTTACAAAAAGGTTTTTGTGCTCTGACTTCAGAGCATGTTGATCCTTTTTCTGAGCAAGAATCCTGACAT